CATTTTCCTTTCGTTACCCCTTCTTTTTCATCTCTAGCATCTTATGTTCATCTTCTTCCCCCAGATCTTTGTTCGTTGGGGGATTCTGGGTTCGATTCATGAACCCAGCAAACGCCATTGGGTTCGTCGATCAAACCTAGCGGCGTCTGCTAGGTTCGTCGATCGAACCCAAGAACGCTTACTGGGTTCATCAATCGAACCCAGGAGCACCTGCTAGGTCCCGCTGGGTTTATCGATTGAACCCGGGGATGCTTGCTGGGTTCGTCGATTGAACCAAGGAGCACCTGCTGGGTCTGCTAGGTTCGATCGTCGAACCCAAGAAAGCTAGCTGGGTTCGTCGATCTAACCCGGGAGCACCTACTGGGTCTTGCTAGGTTTGTCAATCGAACCCAACGGTGTTGGGTTCGTCTATTGGGTTCATCGATCGAACCCAGGAATGCTTGCTGGGTTCGTCGATCGAACCTAAGAGCACCTGCTAGGTTCAGCTACTAGGTTCATCGATCGAACCTAACAGACACTGTTGGGTTCGATTGAAGAACCCTTGATGGGTTTGATTGAAGAATGCTGGGTTTGATTAATGTAGGTTTGATTGAAAAATGATAGGTTCGATTGAAGAACTGTTGTTGGGTTTGATTGAGAAGACCTTGATTTTTCTAGGTTTTTTGGAATGTTGAAAGGGGCATGTCTATTTTGGGGAGATCCTGGGTTTATGTTAGATATTTGTGTTATCGTTGGATTTGATGTTAGAAAGTGTCTGGATTTGCAGAAGGTGAAAGCAAATGAAGAGGAAGAAGAAGTGGTTGCTGGGTTCGATTTCAAACCTAGCACACCTGTTGCTTTCAATCAACCTAGTGACTACCAGGATTTGAAAAAACCCAATTGTGCTGGGTTCCTTTGAACCCAGCTTTCAAACCCAACAAAAGAAATTGGAAGGGTCTATATTTGGTGTTGGGGGAGGGATAGAGAGAGAAAAAAACAAAAGGATGAAATTGCAGGTATCATTGGGGGTAATTGTAGGTTT